CACCTCCCTCAGCCACTCTTTCATCATCTCCTCATCCATCCAGCCCTTTTCATTTGCCTTAATAACGACTCCAGATGGAAACGTCTCTTTAGGCAAAGTGTTTTGCTTAAAAATCACCATAGGCGGCAGTTTCTGTCCATTTGCGTGGCAGCCAATCCACGCCCACACTTCCCTCTTTAACGTTCTCATGGCGGTCTCAACAACGTTCGCAGTAACAACACACATAGGGCGCACCGCACATTTTGAGGGAACAAAAGACGTTTATACGCGCCTTATAGTCGCTAGAATACGGTAGTTTTTTATTAGAATAAAAACGTAAAAAAATCAATATGTTTATTTTAACTCGATGTCCCACAGCGCTCATTCTGACGGCTCTAGTAGTTGTGTTGTAAATTCTTCCCGCGTTTGATTAATGTTGGGTACCGTTGCTTAGCAACCAACATTTTTATCTAGAACTCTTTGGCTAATGCTAGAGGTGGGTAAAATAATTGAAGAGTCGATGCATCGCGATTATTACACGGAAATTGATAATCGATGCGGGAGCCCCTCAGGATCGATTCACCTCCTGACCGTTGGGGGGCGCTGTCGGTTTGGTTACCATTCTCAGCTGGTGCAGAGGCCGAATTAGAGCACACAAGTCATGGCGAGCACCAGCAGAACACCAACTTTTAAGTCCCCTCGTTGAAATTCAGACCTCAGGGAATCGACAAAAGCAAAGTAGTTTGTGCCAGACAGAATGAACGTACTGCAGTAACACGACGAACCTACGCAACCACTTGATCAGATATCCTGCAGAGCGCCACAAAAAACCGAAGCACAGCCTCTAGACTCCAGACAGACACAAATAAGTTCTGCCGCCAAGTTCTGCTCGCACAGAGAAAATCTGTGGCCGTGTTCATTTGCAAAGATCTACGGCCGTATAGTGTTGTTAAAAACGAGAGTTTCAAAAACATTTTAAAAACACTCCACCACGCTACGCAATGGCAACTTTTAAACACTGTACACAGAGGTGAAGACGGCTGTGATGGAGTCGCTAAAGGCTGCTAAAATAGTGGCGTTGACATGCGATGGCTGGACTTCAAGAGCGACTGACCCCTACATAACCATCCCTTCTAATTTCATATCAAATGAGTGGGAATTAGTTTCCAATGGGCTTCAGATCAGGCCGCTTCACGGACGTCACACAGGGAGCAACATGGCCAACATGTTGATGGAGGCAATAAACAAATGGGGCATAACGGGAAAAGTAGCCGCTGTTGTTACAGGTAATGCTGCTAACATGCTGTCCATAGCAATGAGCTATCTCATGTTGGCTGCTTTGCCAATGTGCTCAACTTGGCATCTCAGGCTGCTCTTAAAAAATCAGCATTGAATCAAATCGAAATGAATCAGATCGAATCGCAACAGCAATAATCAAAATCGAATTGAATCGTGAGGTTCCTAACAATACCCCGCCCTGCTGCTCATGCAGTGGAAGTTCTGGTAGGATGAGGGTTCTGGGAGTCCTGCTGTTATACAGAATAAACATTTCTTTTCCTGAACTACGGGTCAAACAGTGAGTCAGCATCTGTAGCTTAAAACCAGCCAGGCCGTTCCAGATCCCACAACCAGCTTCCCTGTCTACACTGGAGAGGAACACTCCCACAGCACCACACTGCCACCGCCATGCTCAGAAACCAGGTTGTCTGCATTTATGTCGCAGTTAACGCAGATATGCCCCGCCCCCTTCCGCAGACACTCTGCTGCACCTCCAAAAATTGTAGGCAACTGCAGACAGGATGCCTCTGATTGGTCAGTCTCTATGCGTATTTCCTGGTTGGTTCCTTACCGGCTGATTTTGTTTGTCTGACCGCCATGTTGGAAAACCACTGGTGAAGATGGAGCAGATAGCAGAGCGAGGTGAGAACGCTGGGACCCTTGTTCCACCTGGATCCCCGCTCTTTTTGGCCCTCATGTCCCTCCGTTGACACTTCCTCACCGCCTCGGCCGTATCTAGACCCACAGCTAGTTCCTGATTGGCCCTCTGGCGTTTTGGCGTGGAATAACATAGCGCAGACCACACTTCAATGTTGGGCAGAAATCAAAAATATCTGACGATCTCACTGTGACGCACTGCTGGGGGAGGAGAACCAGGCGTTAAGCTGTTTGTTTTCTGTCAAGTTTCATGTAATCCAGTGGTTCCCAGCCGGGTCCTCAGGGATGTTTCAGCTGGTTCTGATCAGGACTGTTGATCATTCGTCCTTTTTTGGTTTGATGCAACAAGGAAACAACTAAAACATGCAGGACAAAAACAATGATGTAAACGGTTCCTGTACTGCTCTCATCTGACCAGAGCACGTTAGCATCGGTGGCTCTTAGCATTCTGCAAATCTGACCTCTAAGCTTTACAGCCATTTTATAATCCAATGTTGGGACGAGCAGATGTGGCGCCATCTGCTGGCTGTACCTCAAAGACCAGCGTTATTAATGAAGTCATCTACAATCCCCTCCAGAATCTCCCGTCAGAACATCAGGGAGAGAAAGGCTCCCTGTTCATTATACCTCCACTGATACTGGAAATAACTGATGGATTTTAATTACTGACAAACTGGGCAAAAAATAAAAAACCTTAAAACACGAAAATCAGAAATATTACAGCAGGAGGCCGCAGTTATCTGAGCTTAAAACATTTCATATAATCTCACTATTTAACTTTAACCAGTGAATCTCTGCGGCTCTTTAAGAGCTGCTTTGCCTCTGGAAGCCATTTTTAGTCTTATTAAAACATTTCCATCTGAACTAAAGGGTGAAATGTTATTTAAGAACCTCATTTAAAACTTTAAACTTGATTTAAGTTTCTCTACCCTCCGTTTTTCTCCCCGACCGGCCCGCTGCGTCCCTCGGTCTGCATGATGTTCTCTGATAAACCTTCATAGATCATTTTCATCCATACTAAGTTTAATTACACACCAGATCGTATTGAAGGAGTATCTATAGGGAGCCTACTGCTGCTGATCTACTTTCTATAGTTCTAGTGAGGACGCAGGCAGCGGCGTCTGGATCAGCTGCAGCTTTAATCCTCCAGATGTTGTTCAGGTAGAAGCTCCACTGTGTTCGTGTCTCTGAGCCTCTGAAGGTGCAGATCTAGAGCCTGTTTTCTAGCTGGATCAGGTAGAAAACTTAATGATCTTCATGACTGAGGAGGGAAAGCGGCTTATTTAAAACAATTGATTTATTTCCAAAGAAAACATCCAATCAAATATTTACAGAGATGTTGGGAGTGTTTTTATTAATGGGAGATAAGAAAATACGGCTGCACAGAAAACCAGGCCTGTAGTAAAGCAAGGCGGTGGCAGCATCATGCTTCAGGTTGATGAAAAGTATCAAATGTTTAGAGGTGAAAGTTTTTCATTCAGGATGTTTTTCTGTCTCGTTTTGCTCATTGTTTGCTTGTTGCTCCTGCAGGACGGCGAGGAGCTGGAGCTCCTCACCAAGACCAACACAGACAGCGACTCTGACGAGGACTCCCTGTGAATCCTGATCTCTGGGGATGTCGGCAGCGCTGAAGCTCCTGGACCAGGACGCCGTCTGGCGGCGTTTCTGTGAAGCGATAAACGTGCCTGTTTGTGCAGAACTGCTGTGGTTTGGACAGAAAACAGAGATGTTATTAAAAGCTGCAGCAGCGTTTGGCTGTTGGTGGGAGTTTCCTGTGTAAATATGCCTGTAAAACTGGAGGGGGGGG